ATCAAACTTTGTAATCAGTTTAAAATCATAAAAAAATATGTGAAAATATTGATTATAATCATATGAGGTGTATTATGAGAATTGTTTAGTCATAATACATATCAATTTGTCTTTAACATATATTCTCATAAAGTATTTATATTTACCAAGTAAACATTGTGTTGTTACCTACTTTCAAGATTCCATCATCAGACCATTAATTGAACCATTATGGTCATGAAAACTTAAAAGTGTTGTCAAGAACAAACTATCATTTTCATTGAGAAAACTTAAGAAAATTATAGAAGAGAAAAGTAAAAAAAAAATTCTAAAATCCCAACAAAAATAAAAAGGAACGCACACCTGAATTAGTTTTCTTGAAATAAACTTGAAAATAAATTTGTTAAAAAAATAACAATTTTTGAAATGAAAAATAAGTAAGTGATGGAGATGAAGAAAGATGAAATAAAAAACAAATTAATTGACGGAGATGAAGAAAAAAAGATTGAATGATGAACAATTCATGAATAAAAGTTAGGGAAAATGAAAGGATTGTGTTAAATACAAACATAAATGAATAATCAATGTTTATAAAAATTAGAATGTAAAATTAAAAAAAATTAAAGGAGTAGTATACATGAAAAAAAGATAAATAAGTTTCTAATATTTAGAAGAAGTCAAGTCATCAACCTTGGTTTCCCCATTAATATATATATATATATATATATATATATATATATATATATAGATTATAGTGAAAACATATAATTTTAATTTGAATTTTTTTTTCTCTATTTCTATTTTCTTTATTGGTAACATACACAGTAATTAAACATTTAAAAAAAATAGTATTATAATTTGTAAATACATTTTTAAATCTATAAGAATTTGTAAACACCAAAACATGTGTTTTAAATATATAAAACATATTTATATACACGTATATTTGACGTGACATTCTAGGAGTCCGAATAATATGATACATGAAATAGAAGATGCCACGTCAATCTTCCAGGTTCCTGCACCACATACTCAAATACCTATTTCACCAAAGTGTTTTAATTTTTAGCTCAAGTTTACATTTTAATAAAATTTTAACTTCTTTAATTCTTATACATATTATGTATTGTGATTATTTAATATCCTCAATTAATGCTAAAAATAGTTAAGAACGAGAACAGATGGCCTGAATTTGTGAATGTCTCAAGAAAATGACACAATAATATATGTTATGATGTGAATATTGATAATCGAGTGATGATCTGATACGAATACCAAATATAAATGTATTGAAATAACAATATTCAAAGGAAATAGCATATTTTTAGTGCAAAATTTTGATAAACTTCAGCATACAAATTATACAAAGGTGTTGAAATCTAAAATCTTATTGTACTTTTTATTGATAAAGGGTGATGTTGAAGTTTGAAATCTGAATTAATAAAACTATTTATTTTTGTAAACTCATAAATGTTTTAATTTGTTTATTTTACCTATTAGAAAATTCTAGTTGAATTTATAAATAAATTTATACGATTTCAAATATTTATTCATCATCATTAAAAAAATATAAATCTAGATTATATAATTACCATTCATTTAAACAAAAATATGTAATTACACGGTATTTAAGACATTAAAATATATCAATTGAGAGAGATGAGGATCAATTTGATAATTATTGATTAAGGTCAATCGACTGAGAAACGTCGTTGTTGAGTGTTTAAAGAACAATAAGAGGCAAACAAGAGGTCGACATACCCTTTAATAAATCAAACGTAAGAGTCTGATAACAATTTTTTTTATATATAAAACAAACGAGTCCTAAATCATTGTTCAGATGAGTAAAAAATATATACCAAATAACACATTTCAATCATCGATGAAAATTATGAATTCCTAATAATTCCATTTGCATTAATAAATGCACAAGTCATATTTATAGATTCGATATGCATTGCCTACTTGGATGAGCTCATAATCGACTTTAGATGATATTATTCTTTCATGGAATCAAATCAGTACGGGTTACATTTTTTTTTAAAAATGTCAGACTTATTACAAAAAAATAGATCATGTTATAGTTGAAAGAGTATTCAAATAGAAACTCCCATAGTCACACTAGATGCACAAAGCTTTCTTTAAATGTCTGACATCATCAAACGTCGTGTATGACTTATCTTTCAATTGAAGAAAATACGTGTGAGGAAGGTTAAACTTGTACTTCTATAAAGAATTCTTCCAACAATTCTACTCGTGTATGTGTATCTAAATTTAGCCCTCCACAAATAGATATTTAGTACTTGATAGTGTCAAACCCAACCCCATCATAAGATGCATTCCAAACATTGAAGAAGTTGAGCAATACACAAATCTGTACCAAATTAGAAGGTATGAATAACGTTTTTATATGCCACAACTTTTTTGAAACAAAAATAGATGAGGATGGTGTGACAGAAGAAGTAACAACTGTGCCTTCCAGTCAAAGTTTACTAGTGGGACTATAAAGTGGCCTCACTTCGCTYGCCTCCCTTCCGGTCGCCTCAGCTTCTGATACAAGTCTGCTAACTTTACCTTATAACGAATTCTTTTGAAATAAGATCCCGAGCTCGATCTGGTTTAGTATCAAGGTCTTGGATGTATGTTAATGTAGTAAAGAAAGGTAATTGTTTAAACGTTTAAACAAGTTGAAAGAGTGTGAAAACAATTATCCAATGCACAATATAGGGCTGAGGACAATATTTTTTGTGTTGAAAATATGACGACATTATTTATTAATATTGAACACAAGAACAAAATGTGTGATTTATACGAATCACTAAATATATATATATATATATATATATATATATTAGCTTTATTAAGGGGTTATCCTGTATCATATCTGGATCCAAATTTATATAATTGATCCTTGAATGTATTTCTTAATTAAATGTGTGTTTGTCTTACGCGTAATTTTCAGTTGATTTAAAATAAATAAGAAAAACCTATTTTGCCAAAAAACTATGAAAAATATAGTTTTTGCCAATGTCGACATCCAAAATTATTAAATTATATTTTAATTGTTGAGACCAACTTTATCATTTATGGTAGTTACGATTGTTACGTTAGAGTTTGAAAGTACGAGATCATGCTTAGAATATTTTATTAAACTTTTGTATTCGAAAATCGAGAACCATAATCTTACATAAATTATGGGAATTGACTCGTAGTGGGATCTTGGGACAATTTATAGATCGATGGATTAGAAATATAAGCATGTTACAAATATGAACAACATGGAAAAAGTTGAAATTAAATTAAATTTAATATTCTAAAAATATTCTTAAATATTAATTGTTTTGAAGTTTGACTTTTGAGTTGAATTGATTAATGGTCCAAAAAGTCCACACATTATATTGGTAGGGATGGCAATGGGGCGAGGATGGGACGGGGACCTCAATACCCGTCCCCGTCCCCGATCCCCCGTATGTGTCCCCGTCCCCGTCCCCATCCCCGCCGGGGATTATGATCACATCCCCATCCCCGTCCCCAACGGGGAACGGGGATCCCCAACGGGGAAACGGAGATTTTTTTTAAAAACAAAAAATTATTGAAATACACTAATATTAATATAAGACTTAAACAAGACCAAAAAGTTTAAACTAATATTATCAAAGTTAACGTCAAACGTACTAAAATTACATCGAGTAATATAAGACTTAAACAAGACCAAATTGTGATTGCAATTTGAAGGGTTGTTGCTGCTGTAGGCACATGATATCAAGTGTCAACAAGAACCTAATTTGTATAAAAACCTAATTTGTAAAAGAAAGCAGACCAACCACAATAATGTATTAATTTGGATCCAAATCAAGGAAYATATATAACAATTAACGTGGTAGTATAAAATGGTAGATGATTAATGGAAACCTACTACCAAAGTGGTAAAACTCTAGTTAAGGTAAACATTAGTTCACAAATCAAGGAACATATATAACAATCATTATCAAAGTGGTAGTGTAAAATGGTAGATGATTAATGAGGAGGGAGGATGCGGGAACCGGGAAGAAATAGGATTAGGAAATTGAAATTGTGAATTCGTACTCATGGACTGGATTGGAGGAAGGAGAAGATGCATTTACTTTTTTTATTTCACAGCCCAAAGCCCAAAGCCCAAATTCATAAATATATATATATATATATAAAACGGGTACGGGGCGGGGCGGGGCGGGGAGTGCTATACCCGTCCCCGTCCCCGTCCCTGGCTTGCGCCAAGCGGGGATCCCCGTCCCCGTCCCCGAGACCCGATTTTTCGGGGAATCCCCGTCCCCGACCGGGGCGGGTGGACCGGGTTACCCGACGGGTCGGGGT